GAACTAACGTGAAGCAGATTCGGGACAGAGCATCTCCCATGAAGTCCTTTAACCTTTCTACGAGTTCGACTTTGACCGTGAATGGACCATTTGATGTGTCTTCTTCAATCTCATCTCCCGCCACAGCAGATAGAAGTAGGATTCGATCTGGTGACACTAATTTTTATTCCGTTGACTTCAGCCATAAAACCTATCGATCTTTGACTCTCTCATCAAAAACACTCTCAATTATTGCTACAATCCCTTACATCTCAACAACACTCGCGAATGATAGTGACGATCTCAGAAGAGAAGCACTCCTTCCGCCCCTGCTGTTCCCTGTGAATCTAAATCCATGGCCACAGCTCGGAGTTGCGTGTGGGAGCGGGAAGCTTCTCACATGATCCGACAACCGACGGTGTTGTCTTCGTTGAAGTAATCGCCGAATGCGGTAGCCTGTGACTGCAACGGCGCCGGAGGAGGGCGGTAAGGCGCTGGAGCAGGCAAGGCAGTCATGGCGTAGTACGGAATGGGCACTGCGACAGGCTCCATGGGGTAGTAGTAAACTGGCGCTTGCGCCACTCTCGGGTTCATCATGAAGCTCACCGGCGGAAATGTTGTCACGGTGGTCGGATTCAAGCTCTTTGCTGCCTCGGGAGCAGCGGTCGTTTTGGCATCGTCACCGGCCTCCTTCTCGCTCCCCTGAGCTTTGTTGCTGTCGCTGCCATTTGTGCTGCTCTTGCTCTTCTCCTCCTCGGGTTTTGGTTTCTCAGAGCCACGGCCTCCTTTGTCTTCCTCCGTGTTTGACTTCTCTGATTTCTTCCCGGATTCTTCCGAGCGCTTCTCCTCTCCTTGTGGTTTCTGCGTCTTGTCAGGCAATACCTCCGCGCTCTTCCCCACCTTCGACAGCTTCTTGATGAGGATTCGGACATCGACGTTGCCGACGACTGTGACTTTGGGCAGAGTTGGGTGGATTTCTGCTCTCAATACACCTGAAACCACGCACCAAAGCAGGGAAAGCGCTCACTACGATGAAGACAACACGTCGAAGCACAACCAACAACTGTACCTTTGATGCTCAAGGCCTTCAACACTTTCCTCCTGCATCCCTCGCAGCAGTTAACAGAGACCTTCAATTCAACTCTCTACACAAAAACCAATCTTTGATGCAAATGACACACTCACAGAGAGAGAGAGAGAAATAGAGAGATCTTTGTTGCTCACCATCAAGTCTTTTTCCTTTGCCATGCTAAACTAGGTTTCCTTGAAGCAGAGGAGAGTGATGGTTCTTTCATGGGGGTTGCAGAGGCTTATTATATACACCAAAATCATGGGTCATTAAGGGAATTCCCTAACCTACTACATCATGTGTGAATCTTTGCACCATATTGGGACAACTCATGCGTTGTACGTAAAGGGGAACAGGAGAGCTTCTCCACACCTTACATGTTCTCAAGATTATACCGAGAGCAAATATACTGGAAAGTTGCTGTGGCAGATTCTTTTGCTGATTAAGAGAGGAAGCTCTTTTCTGGATATAATGCCACCAAGTGGAAAAGGCCTATAGATTACATGCCTTTGAGTACCAACTTCCTGTAATCTGACAAACTAGTTTTGGTCTGTTGCTGTCATTGTGGGGGCATATTGAGAGTCCAAGAACAACTGGAACTTTCTTGTTTATGTTTGTGATCATTGTTGGCTGAATTTTATAGGAATAGTTCGAGTTGCAGTGTAGAATACACATTAGGAGAAGTGCAGCACAGTCTAGCATGGAGAAGAATAAAGCTGCGGCCAACTAAAAGAGACTGTAAGCAGTGTAAGGCTTCTGTTTAGACCGGTCCTTTTAGTTCCAGTCACGTACTGTATTAGCTTCTTGGGACGAAAAGGAGCAGGCAAAGCCATGGCATGCCACTGGCAGAGATCGGTAGTAGAAGACTGTCTCAGCTTCTACCACATGCTTTTCCTTAGGGTTGACTTCTTCGGATAGTTAATTCTAGTCAACTATGTCACCAGCGTCAACGGACCGATCCACGGTGCGATTTGGGCTCTCCAAAATGCCCACGATGTGATTTGGTCGAGCTTCAGCAAAGAGGTGGTGATGGACTGCAACTGGCGCTGTTTCATAGGCCATGGCGGTCCAATAACACGACGCTCTCTCTCCTGCAACAGGGACGCCGAAAAAAGAGCCGGACAGACGCATCCATTCGACCGACGGTCGCTGCACGTGACACCCGCCTCGGTTTACGCAGTAACTGGTGCGACTGGATGCGGACTTTTGACGAACAGCGACTGTGCATGGACTGAGGCGGCCAGACGCAGGCCTCGATCAACGCCCCGCTCCGTGTGGGCATCCGGTGGCCTCCGGAGCAAGAGGACACAGGGACCGCGGGGGGAAGAGATGGAGAGTCACATGGCGTGGCCCCCGGTCGAACAGCTTGCAGCGTCAGCGGCGAGACAAGCGTCAGGGATCTCCCATTGATTAGCTTTAAAGCGGAGAAGGGTCACCCACCCACCATGTGTTGGTGTTCTCCTTTATGGGTTCATGGACCGGTTGCCCATGGAAAACATGGGAAGGGGGGAAGTCCAACAAATGCATGTTTGATAGATTGAGATCTTAAAACTCCTGAGATAAATTTAGCAGGCGGGATGAAGAAAACATGAACAGAATAATAATAATAATAATAATGCTGATATATCCCATAAAATAGCTTCGCATTGTACATCCAAAGATCCATATGTGACGGGATAAACCGGAAACGAGGCGCAAATATTACAAGCAATAGCAGGAACTGGAAGAAGAAACGCAAGCATGATGATGCATACGAGAAGCTCAACACCGCCGGATCACACATCTTTGTCCCTCCGGCACTCCGGCGGCATGGCCGGGTACCTCTTCCGGTCGGTGCAGTAGTTGTAGATGGTGTACTTCTGGCGGACCCACTGCAGGCGGCGGTACTGCAGGCCGTCCAGGTCCCGGAACTCCTTCTGGTCCCACCACCGCATGCCCTGGGTGGCGCAGAACTTTGCCTCCGCCGACGCCTCGCAGCCGTCGATGTGGAAGCCCCGGTAGGCGGCGACGAACGGCGCCTTGGACCAGTCCGTCTTCTCCAGGCCGCCCCTGGTGGCCCAGTCGTCGCCGTTCCACAGGCTGGAGTAGATCTTCATGGGCTGGTTGAACGGGTACCGCACTCCCAAGTCCTTGCTGTTCTTGAACACCCTGATGGGCACATCATCTACGTAGAAGCTGTGGTTTTGGTTTCGGGAGGGAGAAGAACGTATGAGCTACCATCCCATCAATGATTCAAGAAGCTTATTGTGCAGCACATATCTATCACAAAGATCACTAAGAAACTTCTCCGTTGCTCATAGGTTACTGATCATGATGAGCTTTATCATACCTTCTAATTCCTCCCATAGAACACTTTGCCTCAACAATGGAAGTTCATCAACGTGTGAGATTAAAGAAGGTACAGAGGAGGCAAGCTATACACATGCATTAATTTGTAGGATATGTCTATGAATGTAAGCTAATAATTTTCAGAAAATAATATATGGATAAAAGCATCCTAATGCACTGTACCCTACAAAATATAAAGAGGTTGGTATGGGCATGCAGGACAAGCAACTGCTGCAATCCAAGGGGAGGCTCTGCATGGGCCCCACCGGATGGGTTGTCTGCAGCTTGTGTAAGCATGTGATATGAATGCTACAAGTACTACTACATCATCTTGTTTCCTACCATGTAGATCGAACCCTTTGACGAATATTTGAATATTCTAAGATCGATAGGTTTCTGGCAATGGTGAAGTTAATATCTACTTGAGAAACAGGCAATGGAGGATAAAGATGCAAAAGAGAGGGAATGGAATGTCCATGGAAGGGAAGGGAGAAGAAACCTACACAATCTGGTACATATTCCACAGAACAGAGTAGGAATGGTAGTCCTTGGTTGGGTCAAACCAGAGGTAGATCCTTTGCTCCCTGTCACCCTTCCCACCGGTGAACACATTGGTCTGCAGGATGTAGGGCTGGTTGGTCCTGTTCCCCAAGAACTCAAAGTCTATCTCATCATGCTCTGAGTTCTGAGATGAAAGCTGAGACCACAGGAAGAAGAAGAGAGAAATCACAGGTTAGTGAACAAAGCTAGTCACTTGTTGTCCATGGCATTGCTTTCACTATTCCACCACAGAGAAAAAAGTACTTACATAGAAGGCAGTCACTGTTCCAGCAGAATCACCTGGAACCATTTTTATCTGCATACTGAAGTGGCCAAACAAGTAGGAGCCCCCAGATTGAAAGCCAGTACCTAAACAAGAGCCAAAGAAGTTGGGCATTAAAGTGGATGATGCTTCTCACATTTCTGCACTGACCAAAGCTTCATTCAGCAAATGGAACACTTCCAATGCAAGCATTTTACCTGTATTTTTGTCCAGGGAGAGCTGGACCTCTCTGCCTCCGTCGAAGTACTTGATGTGATCATATGCCCAGGTTGGCACATAGTTCTTCTGGAATGGAACATCAATGGGTCTCCTGGGTGTGCCAGCCAAGGTGGTCACAGACACCAAGCCTAAGACAAGGAAAACTATCACAGCAGAAGAAGCAAAGGAAGCCATTCTTCCTTTGCAAGAAAGATGAAGAGGAGAGGAGACTGCAGTGTGAGAGGATAGGAGAAAAAGGAGGTGTTTATGTAGGCAAAGGGAAAGGCCACAGCATCATTTTCTTAATGTAATTCTTGGAGACAGCTTCCTGGCTGCTTTTGTATTGTTCTTCTGGATTGAATACAAAATATTGTGATGGTACAGCTATTTATGCCAGTGGGTGGTGGATGCTGGGAAATGGCTGGATATTTCTAGTGAATGCTTGCTTGGAGATTGTGATGCTGAGTGGAGATTTCTTGAGTTTGGCTCTTACTGCAGAAAAGGCAGAAACAGAGAGAGAGAGAGAGAGAGAGTAACACATTGCCTGGAAAGAAGCAGGCTGCTACTGCCTGTGGTCACAAATTATATATCAATCAGATCCAAAATGGTGACAGTCATGGGATCAAACAACTTGTGACTTGTGTTAGGACCAAAAGTCATGCAAATATTTGCATCTTAGATTCACCATCTCACTCCTTCCTTACTTTTATACCTTATTAAGTTGCTGCATTGAGTGCCATTTGTTCTGCTACATATGGTGGTTTACTGTTTCCTCATATAAAGTTTGACTCAAAATTTAATATGATCACAGGTGTGCATCAATTCTAATCATCAAATGTACTTGTCCAATCACAGTTAAAAACCAATCTGAAAGTAAGAAAGAATTCTTTACATTATTTTTGCTATTTCTTGTGAATTGCAACCATTCACATATGTTAATATGTTCTTTGATTTGACACACCTCAGTGGTCTTTGATTGGTGTGGATCTTGGCAACAAGTAGCATGATTATTCAGCATGTACATTTGGAATGCTAGTGTCAAGGTTAAATATGGTTGACTTGAATTTGACCTGACCTGATGTCTCAACAGGCCAACATATCACATAATGTTAAATGTGTATGGTCAATATTGACACCTCTGATCATTATATCTCTTATCTTGATTAATATGTGCACATACTTTGATAGTTTATGAACATTTTTTCTTCATTGAAATGAGGATTTTTAAGATGGTTGCAAGAGAACATCATGAACAACAACAACAATAGTAATAAAACAGCCATCCAACTTCTTCTATACATGTGTTATTTACAATTGAAAACAAGTGAAACATATTTTATAAAGCCAAAGAAAAATATATTATTGCAAAAAGTTTAAAAATAATTAGTCATTTAAAAATCAGTGACATTGAAATATACATCTATTAGTCATATTAATGGAACAAAGTGCTGCATTAATCAAACAATTTAATGACACATGATTGAGATGTTGATCTTGTTTTGTTTAGGAGTGGCACACCTATTCACACATCACTAGCAAAAAAATAGTAGCATTGTGATTCATATCCACTTTATTGCAACTGACATAAGCTAAATTTTGACCTTACTAACAAAAGAGATGACTGAGTGTTTTGACTGAACAGTTTAAGTTCTCTTGTAATGTATACATAATTGCTGTCATATAAAGGACACTGCCCCTCCTGCAATGTATCAGAGACTGCGTAAGGCATCAATCAAAATGTGGTTTGGTGATGCACACCAACACTTGAACTACTCATAATACAGTATGATTGATGCCTAAATAATGGTATTTCACCACTGCTGTGACAATTTTCTAATGCCTAATCATCACTGGAGATGCTCTTCGGCATTGTGATCGGATCCTTCACAACTCAGAAAAGAGATATGATGTCAGGAGCTGTAGCTTACAGAAAGGGTAATATACTATTTGGTGCCTCACTGATTAAGAGGCAACTCTTCTGTTTGGTGATCACATATTGCTAATGAAAGCATGCAAGTGAGTTGTTCTGTTGTCCTCCAGATGCTGATGGGGTTTCTTTATGATATGATATGATATGATATCAGCCTTCTCTTCCGATTTCCACTGCTTCACTTGACTCTTAGTTAAGGATCTTATACCATGTTGAAGTATCAAACATGATCATCATCAACACCATTAAGAGGCATACTAAAGTTGACAGCATATATAATCTGTGGACGTAGCAATTTGGCTGCTTGTAGCTTGTTCTTCGGTTCAGCTTAACGTGGAAGAAGATATTGGAAATCATAAGCCGATCCAAATTATCATTTCAGATTCTCTTCTCTTTGACCTTTTTCTCCTGGAGATCAGCGTGTAGCTCATCTTGATGCAGTCTCTCTTCTCCTGAGGTCTCCTCTCAATCATTCCTGCTCCTGCAACCTCATCTCCCTGCGGAATCTCCTTATGAATACATCGGCAACATGATCGATCTCATTCTCGAGGTTGAATTCCAAGCCGTCCTCTCCAGAGCCTCGAACCAAATCCATGACAGAGCACGGATTGTCGATCGGTTCATCGTCCAAGTCAAAGAGAGTGTGTGCCAAGTCAGGATACTCGTCTTCTTCGACATACTCGAGCGACTCCCTATGATCAGCTGGACTCGAGAACACCTCCTCTCTGGCAGCATTATACATCACTATCGCTTTGCTGTAGCCCCCGAGAGCGTGGCCAGATCCTCCACCTCTGTCGTGGCCCTTCAGTGCATGGATCTTGTTGGAGATTGCACTCGCTAGGACCTTCCTCTTCGACAGCATCCCAAGAAACATGAGTCTGGTCTTCTTGACAGCCAAGGTTTTGGCCTTCGGTAGTGCTGCAAGAACGATACTCATCTGCCAAGGAAAGAAACAGCCTTCTTCATTTTTTGGCAGTGAAGAAAACAAGTGTCTTGCCATGGAGAGACTATGTATCTTAGTAGATATATTCTCGGCATAAAAGGCTTAGAGGACTTCGACTCGGTCAGCTACAGATTTGCCGAAGAAGATAGGAATCAGGTAGACATGTAGGAAGATGTCATGGGAGGTGGCTGCTGTGTCATGGGCCTTCTCTCGTGGGTGTCGATTGGCATTTATAGGGAGGGAGAGGAAGACTCTGAGGGCCATTTGCCCAACCAAACCATTGGGAGATGAGAAAGATATAACTCGAACCTGGTGGAGTAGGAGGCACTAAGCAAAGATGACAGGCAAAAGCTGTGGAAAGTAACATTAGAGATATATATATATGCCAATTGTTAGGTAACTGAGACCTTATCATCAACCATTGGGTGATTGAGAGTTCACTGTTCAAGTTAGGTTCATTGTTTTGGTGTCTACATCTTTTGCTTTCCACTTGGTTTATCACCACCATTTAGCTTTACTGGTTGAAGTTCCTTGGTGGCTGTCAGATTCAACTTTCATTTTCTTCATGTTCTCTTTGGAGCCTGAAAGATTGATTAGGTAACTAAAGCTGAATCAACTCATGGCTAACTTTAACAACAAATAGGGATAGCTTTTGTTGTGGAAGACAGACTTGAAGAGCTTCAAAGTTTAGTTAGAAGGACTACATAGAAGGTGTCACTTTAGATCAAGAACACTACTAAAGAGATGTTCTTGGAGAAATTTACATCTGAGAACCCCATGTTCTGTGACAACTCCTAAACTTAATGGATTCAGGTGGCCATCATCATGTTAAATTTGCTATGCAGAAGTGCAAGAGGAGGAGCACTTTGCACAAAGATCAATGCACAGTTGTGGTGAGCTTTCTAGTAAGCTTATTTCACATGGTGCCATCAATCAAATGGAAGAGATAGATCAAGCTGGATTTTGCAGCTTTTGTTGTTTTCAACATGAAGTCATATTATTGTTATCCATCTTACAATCAATCCTGTACTACAGATTTTTTTTGTTTATACAAATCATACAAAACATTATGATTATATTTTCTTGTTTTAGTCCCCTCCTCAGCTAATGTGCACTATGCATAACACTGACACCAACCCAAGTTTATTATTATCTGTGTACACTTGAACAAAATCTACACTCAGTATTGGATTGGATGCACATAAAGTGCAGAGGCCCAACCTATACTCAACAAGTGGGAGCAATCTACAAGTCAAGCTGGCTGCATCATTTGCCAAAATATATTTAGTAGTCAAAGCTAAGGGTTAATGAATCAAATGGGCAGCACACAATGCTCCTAATTAATGCTTCCTTTTCCTCTGCCACCGACACTGGAAGCACAGCTTTGGAAGGGACCAAAGAGCAAGCAAACACAAATCCCCCTCCATTCCATCTTAGTTTAAAGGCCCCAACAACAGCTGACGTGAGAGAGCTCACGTTGCTTAGGCCTCATCATCACGTTTTGCACTACAAACCCATGTCTCTGGCCGAGTTCTCGGCAAGCAATAGCCATAGAAAGCAAAGATCTTGTGCTCCTTTACGTGATATCATCGCCGTCCTTCCCACTCGCATAAGCTTTGCCAAGGAAAAAGGAGAAGGCTTATTGGGTCGAATGATGCCTTTAGGCATTCAACATTGATTGATGTTCTAATGTCAACTAATGCATGGTCTTATGGGCAAGCCAATTTGATTGAGAGAAGGATTCAAAGTAAAGGAAAACAATGTTGATTTAGTAAGGGTAGAGGAAACAGTTCTTTTTTGCATTTGAGAATGTCGGTAGATAAACTAATCAGTGTTGATGGAAGAAAGTTAGGCTTAGAATCAATGGGAAGTTTGATGGAAATAGACACACCATTAATCCTTGGACCAAGAACAATTAGTCAAATCACTGATGAAGCTGGCAAAGAGTTTAAAGAGTCAAGATCACAGATGAGCAATTGCTTTGAAGTGATTGGAAGTTCAGCAATCGATTGGTTGATGTCGATTGCTTGTTCCTGGAAAGCCTCCATATGCAATCATGAACTTTAGAGGAGACCTGTTGGATCAAGTCATACCATTGCTTGCTATCCAAAAAAACATACCAATGAGAAAGCAAGTGGAAATCTATATGGCCATGATAGTTAGAATTCAACACAAATAAGAATGACTAGTTCTAAACCTTGTGACCCAATCAAAGTGTGAGAGAAGGGGTGGGTGGGGCATTTATTTATTCATAGAGAATTAAGTGTAAAAGATGATGGATGGATGGATTGGATTCTCATGAGAATAAATTGGTTATTTGCTTAAGAATACTTTAATGTCAGATGAACACATTACCTTAGCAATGATCTCCTGAAAAGAAGACAAGAGAGGATCTCCACTCTCTCAGGCATGTTTTGCTGGATGGGTCAATTTTGCTTTGCTGAGACGCGGGGTAGCAGCTGAGCTTGCCTTCTCAGAAAAAGCAGCTGCCAATGGTCCACCTTCCTCTTCTCCTTTTCTTCTCTTCTGCACTAAGCTTTTCCTTCTTCAGTGCGCAAATCACACATCAGCTTGGCATGTCTTGTGCCATATGATATGTGCAGTCCTCCATCTATAAATGCCCTCCTCCCCCGCTCCTCCAAGCTTCTTATCACGGGCTCTCTCTTCTTCTGCGAGGTTGAAGGACCTCGCGGAAGTTGGAAGCCCTGACCATGGAGCTCCACTCGCATGTCACCGCCAAGAAGCTGTGGGGCTACCTACGGGTAGCCTTCTTCATGATGAGGAAGGGCTTCATCTCCAAGCGGAAGCTGTTGATGGACGTGAACCTGTTGATGAAGAGAGGGAAGCTCCTCGGCAAGTCCCTCGGCAGCCTCATGTTCCAGTTCCACCACCACCACCACTCTCGGCCTGAGATCCCAACCTTTGCGCCATGCGAGTACGAGTTCTCGTGCAGCAACAGCCCTAACCCTGTTTTCTACCACGCCAAGCGCCGCCACAGCTACTTCCCCTGCCTGCATGCCGTCGTCGAGGAGGCCGACGACACCCCGCGGCGCGCCGCCGTGGACCTGCCGAGGATCGGGCAACGCACTTCGCTGTCGTCGCCCTTCTCCGTCCGGGTATCCGACTATTCATCGGAGGAGGAAGACGGACTGAGCCAAGAAGAGGTGGACGACGAGGCGGAGGAGTTCATCAAGAGGTTCTACGAGCAACTACGGGCGCAGAGCCGTGTCGCGCTGCTCCAGTACCAGGAGGAGGAGTACCAGGAGATGCTTGCGAGAGGAGCATGATGATGGATCACGTCTCTACAGACATGCAATAAGACTTCGTCCTGCTTGATTCCTTGTGTGATTCACGTCCAAACCTTCCTCCATTTCAGTCTGTGACTACCTATCCATGCATTGATATATATATATATATATAATGAATGATGAAGCGAGCTTCTACTGATATCATGGAATCGATATATAAACAATTGGACAAAGCAAGAGCGCAGCAACAACTAACTTGATAACACCATGGAATGATATGTGTGGAATAGCCGATTGATTGTTTTGGTTGTTCCGAAGAAATCAAAGAGAGTAATTTAATCTGCGAAGAAGGAAAACAATATAATCTTTGTCAAACCTTTCATCGAAGATAATCAAAGATTTGAAGGAGTAATCGAGTTTAACTTTAAAAAAAAGTAGAAAGAAATATTAATATCTTTGCATAAAATCTTTTTGTAAAGGTCTATCCAAGAAACTATTACTCCTATTATTCTTATAAATAAAGTTTTAAGTAGCAGTCAAACCACAAACAACTAACAAAGGTTAATTGATAGGAATGGATTAAACATTCAAGAAATAATCACTTATATTTTTGTGCCATCCCAACGAAGATGCAACTAATTCATGTATAGAATTTGGATGCATCAATTTACCCAATGATTCAATCAAGTCGATGTTTGGTCCAATTCTGATAGATATGTAATAGTTCTACACATTGTGAAATGAAATAATAAGATTTAACTCTTAATGGAACATCAAATCATTAATCAAACTGGCAATACTCTCAGGCAACTCTCAATCAACATCAATAAAGATGAAAAGAGTCAGAATAGCCTTTAGTTGCTGCATCATCATCCAAATAAATCAGATGGCAATGTCAATGGCAAGTTGGCAACAAGGTTCGTCCATCAGATCGATCTTTATATCATCATCTTTTCGGCTTATCTGAAGCAAGAAAAAACAATTAGTCCACTCCACATGGATTACGTGCGATTATTCGAAAAGAAATCATATAGTTAGCTGATCTAAGATGAGGAAAGAAGATTACCCAGGAAACATTAAGCAGAGCTTTGTGTAGCTTTTACCACCAATTCCTCGGTGGTAGGACCTATGATCTCATTGGCCCGCTTCAAAGGAAGGCAGTATATTCTTCCAATAGAATCCTGATGGAGAAGTAGAACATAAAGCAAGTGAATTTAACAAACCAATCAACAATTTCATAACGTTTCTGAAATAGCAAGAAGCCAACATCCCATATGATTGACGTCAAACAGGATATGATGCAGCTAGATCTTGCATCCAAGGTACTTTTCTCATTGATCCATAGTAACTTTATTAATGGAGAGAGGCGGAATAAGTAGTACAGCAAAATTATTTGCCGCACAGACTAGCATTTGATTCTCGCTTATCAAATAAATCATTCTGATCTTGATAGACCAGTGAATCATGTCATGTACTTACACTTTAGCAAAATATTGAAGACAACAGAGATGGCAGAGTGAACAGCTTGAGAATGCCTAGATAACATCCAAAAATTTTTATTACATGATTATGTATAACTATTTATCTATTACATTAGGAACAGCCCACATTGTCCATGAGCCACCAATGTCACATGGTTGTCGCTGCAACTTTCTAAGTTTTGTTTGTCTAGGTTACAAACACTTTTTTCTTTTAGAAATTATGTCATGCACATATACATGTTATGATGCAAAATTCAGATGATTTGAAGATACTTTTTTCAATCAAAAGATCATTCAAATGATACTATAGAACCCAAGGTTAACAACCAATAGAGGCCGACTTTGATAATTATTAGGCTCCATACCACTTGAGTGGGCCCACTAGCGGGACCTAAGATCCACCTCAAACCAGAATATGGTCACACTGGATTAAATGCATGTCAAAACATGAGTCAAGTCCTGAAGGAAGTCACTACCAAATCGACTTAAGCCTTGTTAAGTAATCCTATTCTGAATAGTAATAGGAGGTGAGGGATAAGAGACTATAACTAAAAAATAGTATGTGCTTATAAGTTTATCAAGGATCGCAATCAAGTACTGTACCGGTCCCTGGCTGGATGGTACATACTGAATGGGTACTAGTGTACCAACGCTATACTAACACA